GTTAGTAAATAAAAATTCGTATAATTATATTAAAATTTAGTATAACATAACTCAAATAAGATATTTATAAATAGTTAAATTATTTTGTGCAACACCTGTAAATGAAGCACAAAGTTGTTGATTTCTGCATTCTGATAAAGTGTGCAGCAAAGTACATTTTGATGCACACTTTCAAGCATATTAGACAACATAACCTTAAATTTATTCTTCAAAACAGCATATAAAATAGCTTTTTTCTTGCAGATGTTGCACAAAGCACTGTGTGCAACTCGAGCGGAAAGTAGCATTTTCCTACGAGATTTCAATCTCGTCGGAAAACAGCTTCTTTCCGCTCTCGTTGCACAATGTACTATTTCTCTTCGAAAAAATTGTCTTTTTATACGAATTATTACAAGGATAGCTGACAAATAAAACTTCTTAATTACTGAAAATTTAAAAACCATATGTAATGAAATGAAAAATGTTCTAATTTAATTCTTATAATATATAAATTAAATATTTTTAATCGTTTATATTAATTTTTTTTGCAATTAAACATTTCTTGTCAAAAAATTGAAAAAAACGATAAATTTTGACTAGTTTTACACTCCTCATAGTAAGTTTAATTATCCTGTTTTCTCTGTGTGTCAGGACTTGTGTTATAAATGTATTATGAATTAATTAGTTAATTAATAATTAAATCTTTTTTAACTTTTGCAATACTGGGTCGCAATCGGCCCACTATTGTCTGCCCAGACTCGGTGTCAGTTTTGCCAATACTATATGCCAGCATTGGGCCGTGTTGATTTTGCACTTGGGATACAATAAAAGAATTTAAAGTATACTGCCTTTTCAATAAGAAACTTGATGAACTTGGTGAAAATTCAAAATACGTGTATGAAATGTGCAATAGTAGGTACTGTAAAGTTTAAACAAAGAATATATATACAATGTTCAATGTATGTATTTGATTCCATACTCAATACTAAGATGAAATAATAATACATATATGATATGAAAAATTATTATTTGATGACTTGTTTTGATGTTTGTTAAACTACAGTTATTGCACGTGTTTGCTTTTCTGCGCGTCAAATTCAAAAATGACATTTGCGCACATGACAAACGCGTGCAATATATTTAAGATTCCTTTTATAACAACAAAATATCACTCAATAGATTTTCTAGTAAAAATTAGAGAGAGAGAGAGAGAGAGAGAGAGAGAGGGGGGGGGTAGGACTCTGACACCTCAGAAGTAAATTAAAGAAGAAAATATTCCAATTAAAATTCATTTGCCTCAGTATATGTATATTCATTAGATTATGATGTTTGAAAGACAACATCGTGCATACTTACGAAACTAACCGTGCACTCTTCGTGATTCACTGATTCCGGAAACTGTTACTATACTGATAATCTATAGTTCCACGATTTTTCGCTTTTGCATACACTATTATAAATAATAATCTAAAATTAAATAGTCTTATCAGAAAAAAGTTTTATTGGCTTTGAAAAAGATTATTGAGGTAATAAATATAGACAAGCAACAAAACTCAAAAGCTTTTAAAGCAAAAAGCAAAATTTTAAATAATTTTCGTTTTCTATGACTACTAAAAACTGAACACAGTTCAGTTCCTATATGATTAATTCTTATATGAGATCATATATATGATCCCACGTGAGGATTTTTAATATGATTTCATGGCAGATTTTTTGTAATAATTTTTTATTTAAGAATCGAAAAAGATTTGATGTATGATTTGATATAGGAAAATTTATGGTTAAGGATTGAGCAATGAATTTTAGTATATGTTTTTTAATGAGAAAACACGAAGGAAATTGACATAAGAAATTGAAGGAAAAAATGGGACCAGAAAAAATTGTAGGATTTCACATAGGAATTTACATAATTTATTACTTAAGAATACGTTTATAAAAATTTACATCGAATCCCACTTCAAATCATGTCTCAATTTTCTATATGATTTTTCATAAGATCCTATATAGTTTCTTACATGACACATAGGATAGGATAATCCTATATAAGATCCTACATGAGAATTTTCAGTAGGGTTAGAAGCAAGTTGTTAAAAACATCTACAAAAAGCTATACCAAAGTACATATCTTATAAATAAGATGCTGTTAAAAAGACTTAAAATTATCATTCTTTATAAAGTTTAATCATTTAAAGCGTGGAAAATTATTTGTTGAAAATCACATGAAAAATGAAATAATTCTGTATCTCTACATAATAAACTACACTGACAAAAAAGTAGATTTTTTTTGTACACGCTTCAGAGATTGAACCCTGCAGACGCTATACGCATATACTTTACCACGGAATCACGGCGTCTTGATAATTGAGACTCATATCCCGATTCATGAACCGGTCGGCCACTCGGGACTCACCTTCTCAAATCTGTCAAACCACAAAAATGTCATAAACTTAATAATCAAAATTTTGATTTTTTGTATAAAATAGTATTTTCAGAAATCAAAATATTTGACTTAAGTGTAATTGACATTTTTGTGCAGTGCCTGATTTGAGGAACTACATGTGTAGAAAAATCTTCTGGCGCTGGCCTGATTCTAGCCAGACCGCCTAGTTTCCAAACTAGCAGCTGCCCAGAAACTCTGTCCAGCGGCTGGCCAAAAGTGTAACGCTAGAAGCGGTCAGACGCTGGCCAGACGGGCTTTTCAGGCGGTCTGACCTGGCGCTGGACAGATGACCAGCATTTTCTATTGAATTTAATTGATTTAACTTATAAGAACAATTCGTTATATTTCTGAACTTAAAAAAATTGCGCATACAATAAAAATTAATATTATCCACACTTCTTATTAACTCAGTAAAATTGCACGATTAACATTAAATTTCAAGAATTAAATTAAAATTTACCACCCACGGGGATCGAACCCACGACCCTATACCTAACCTAAGGTTGTGTCCACAATAGACCAAAAACATTAACGTGAACGTAACGTATCCATTTAAAATACATTGTAAGGTTACTTATACGTTCATGTTTTTGGTCTATTCTGGACAGGCCCTAATGCTGACTCTACATTGGTTGCGCAAACGTGTACCAGACCAGCATCGCTAGACACAGTCTAGAAATTACAAAATAAAAATTTTTAGTTATCTAAACTTTCTGTCTAGCATCAGATCTGGGTCTGACTAGTGTCTGAGTAGCACCAGAACTGAGCCAAGCTAGTTCTTCCAGACTAGCGATGCTAGACGCTTTCTGGATTGCGCCAGGCTTGACTCTAGACGTTCTACACTGAATGAAATTTTTCGTAATTACTGCCATAATTCTTGCTGTTTCTGTCATATCGTATAACTGAATTAACATGGCACTGTTACTGCCATACAGTTTGGGTAATCCAACCAAACGAATAGTACTTCCAAAGAGCAAGATGTCTGAATCAGACTTCACATGGCTAATACAACCTAACTTACCTGCCAATTTGACAAACTATAACCAATTCAACCAGAAATCTCAACCATAAGTTTATGACTGAAATTTCGATAGCATTTCTTTCCGTTTAGAAGATTTTTCTACATGGGTACGTCCCGAGCGTCAAACCGGTTTTTGAATCGGGAGCCTCAATTTATCTTTACTACCAATTAAAGAAATGAAGTTCTTTTTCCGATTTTGAGCAGATTTTGTGGTCAGTGTCTTGATGTAATATAGATAGTGTCTTTTTTAAAAAGTACTGATAGAAAAATGCCAATATAAGTAAAACTTCTCTGATATATACTGGATAATTTATATAATTCTGTTAATAGAATATGTTAATTATTTTTCCTTAGTATGATTGTTTATATTCGATTTTTGTATTCAGCGACTGGTCAGTTTCTGAAACGAAGTTCTTATTTCGATTGTTATGTAAGAATTTCATAACAAAGACGTAAAAAATTTAGAATAATCCTCTTAGCAGAATTTGCTAAGTATTTCCTGTCAGTATAGTGGACCAGTTATTCTAAGTGGATTTTTAATTAACTGAGGTTATATAGTTTTTGGCCAGTCTCTGACTTGAAGTTCTAATTACGATAGTGAAAATATTATCTGGTCTTGACAAACTCTGACTGATCATAAAACATGTCCTGTTATTAAACTGGCCTGTCACGTGGATGAAGTTCTAATTACAATTTTGGCCAGCGACTCGATAGACCTGTTCAGACGATGACTATAGCCAGATTATCGTGTCAAGTAAAACTCTCCCCAACTCCAAAGCCGGATACTGGACAGAGTCTAGTATTACTGGAGAAATTTCTACCTGAGTCGTAAACAGATTACACAATATTTGTAGTTGATTAATTACGTGTGGTGATAGTCTCTCCTTTAGATGGAAAAATTGAAGACAATTCTTTGAAGTAAGACTCATCATCAACCGAAATCTTTATAAGATAAAATTATTATTTCTACTTTTGAACGTATTACTAAACTTGTTTGCATTTGCAAGTGCAGCATCACTAGAAATTCGTTTCAATTTCAAAATTTTAAACGCGATAAGTAATAGTAAAGACTTCTAAGTTATAAATCGTGGTCTTTGAAAAGATACCTTATCACGTTTATCGCAGGCAATTTAAACAAAGTTTTTAAACCTTTACAGGTATTAAAATCAGTTGATTTTTAAGGTTTGAAACTATATAGCAGATGAGAAATATAATGCTATATCCCACAAGTATATATATATCTCTTTGTTCTCTTTTAAAGTATTTGGAAATTGAAACCTTTATCATAAGTCGCAGATCGTTGAAAGTTAAGATAGGGGTAAAGGATTATGTTGTTACTTGTTTTTGATTGAAAAGTACGATCATTTTATAATCCTTCCTCTGTGTGTAAATTAGAAATATCTTATAGGGTAAAACTTTTCTGTGGTGGGGTGTTAGGAACAACAACACAACAACATAACTATACATCGATAAGAAATAAGATAACCTTTAACAGACCTACATGGAACCGCGTTTCTCATTCTCAGAGGTCGCGGCCCTCCAATGATTGTGGGACCGCAAAGGCCGCACTTTGGACCGCAATAGGTCTCAGAACTTAAGTCTAACAAATCGATAGGACTGGAGCTTCTAACTTCAGTGCCACTTTAGCTTTGAACCGCACTGCAATACCTACTCTGTTCTCTCACAAGATATCATGGATGTTTAATTAAAGAAAACATATAACATTATAAAAGTGGATAAACAGAATAAAAAGACCCAAAGAAGGAAAGAACACTAAAAACAACACTTTAGAAGATTAAACTCTAAAAATCTGTCAAATTGGAAAATATTTTTGAAAAATCTTATATCCAAAATAATTTGAATAACAAGTAGGATTCAAGATTCTGGAAGTTATTACTATTTAAAAAAATACATGTTTGTCAGTTATTTAATATTTGAAGAAATACATAAAGCTAATAACAAAAAGAAGCTATCATATGGTCCAATGGACTGTATCTAATTACAAACGATATCAGCGAAGTGGTTGGTGAAGGGGTTAAGGGACTAGAGGGCGACTGATATAATTATTTACTGTTTATAGTAACATTACTATTAAAAAATTTAAGCAAATAATTTGTGTAACAAGTCGGTATAATGTCTACAGAGCCAGGTAGCTTTTCCTCCAATGGAAGCATGATCGTCGTCAGCAACCGATTACCTTTTGTTTTAAAGAGAAATGAATCAACAGGAAAGTTGGAACGCAAGGCCAGGTTGGTACACTTCTTAACAATTTACTTTATTAGTATTTTATAAAATTCCATGAGATACACGTGTGCACTATGTTACACTAATAAAATCTAAGAAAATCCTTTATATTTTTCACCTTGGATTATTTTTAAAATAGAGACATAAAATAAACACAGAACTATATTCTAAAATTTGTTTTTCGATATTTTTCTTATAGTTTTTATGGTTGTTGCCAAATTCAAATTATCCTTCTTAAAAACTGTTAACATATGCAAGAAAGTTTAAAAATTTATAAGGTATTATTATTATTATTATTATATATTATATAATAATATTATTTTTAAAGTCAAACTATAAATAAAGGCTATTAATAGAGGGAAAACTAATCAAATAATCTATTAACAAATTTTTAACCACATTCTGAATCGTAAATAATTTAATAATAGGTATATATTATCCATTTTTGTCAGTGTACATTTTTTGTTTGATAATCTATTAATTTTTTATATATAAGCAAGTATTTCTTTTTCTTTTAATTCTCAATAAAATAAAAGGAAAATTAAAATTTTCATTCTATATATAGATTACAATTACAATAAATAAATAATAGGGGAGAATGGGGAGTTGTGCACCGGGGGTTTTGTTTTTCGATCAAAACTATTATATAAATTTTTTTTGACTATTCTATTATGTAGAACTTTTAGTACCTACACGTACAAACACAACTTTTGGCATGATCAATTAATTAAAATTCGAAACATATATAGAAATTTTGCTTGTTTTTCGAAAATACTGATTTTATGACTTTTGAAAAAACGTGGGGAGTTGTGCTCCTCTATGTTGAAAATTGAAGAAAAAACCATATTTTTTAGAATATTCTTTATTTAAATTATAGAACGTGAAAAAGTAAAATAATTTACATAAAATAAAGTAATAGATAAGATAATAAAAGATTAATTTTAGATAATTTAGATAAAATTAAATTATTTTCAAAAAATTTAATTTTACTAGGAAATTAATTTTATTTACAATGAATACAGATGTAAAAAGTCTTATCTCACTAAAGAACAATATTTAAATTGCATAAAACATAAAACAATAATTGACACATCGAATGTTTATACGAAATTTTGTCTGTACGCCGAAACGTTCTTAACGAGAAAAAATATGACAGTAGTTGAAATTTGTCATATTAATTGCTATAATAAAAAAATTATCGTGGAGCACGACTCCCCATGAGGCACAAATCCCCATTTTATATATATATATATATATTTTTTTTTTTTCGTTCACTTTGAAAAATGGTCAAAGTTTAAAAAAGCATAGAGAAAAATTAATATATAAAGGTTTAAATAATTTTTATTTGTTTCTGTTACCTTATTTCATTATATGGCTAAAAAATACTAGTTACAATTTTTATTCTCTAATAAACTATTGTTTAAACATTTATATATATATATATATATATATTGACAAACAAATATGATTGTGTAAAATGAAACTCGTGATCTTGTGAATTATGGATTGATAATCTTTATTGTGTCTGTGTAATCATTTTCGCGTCGTTCTTGTCGTATCTCAAAATGACATTAGCTATTATGATGACTATGAGAATAATATTTGTAAAGTAATTATTTTTTTCACTGTTTTATACTTTATAATAACTCAAAAGATATAAATGAATAAAGAAATATTTATTATTTGAAACGATTTTATATATTCCATTAAGTCATTTTGATAAAAAAATTTAAATTTTCATGAAAATTTTGTTGTAAACTTAACATAAGAAAGAGATTTTTTATTTGATAAACGGAAAGAAAGTAAATAAAAAATTTTACACGTTGAAAATATGATAAAAAGCAAAATTTTCATATACACTGGAAAAAAATATAGTATTTAATCAAGAAAACCCATTTACTTCACTGAAAAAGTCTTGGGCGTTCAGACTTCCCAACGCATGTATGAGAAGCACCAAATAAAGGGGTTCTGCGCGCAACTTCATTGTGGGGCTAACTGTTTCCCAACTTGGGTGCTCTGAGTGCCCAAGTCTGATGCTGCAGCATCTGCTCGCCCAACATTGAGCATAGAGGTCGCTCAAAATCATGCTCCGGACACTCCAAAGCAAAGAGCTGCTGCACTTCCGCTGTTGGAACTGCTGATCGCCCAAGACTTTTTGAGTGTTGTCCGTATTTGATTTAATATTTTCTTGATCCAAGAAAATTTTACTAGTTTGAAGTAAATTTTCTGGAATTAAGAAAATTAGTGAATGAAATAGGGACAAGTACATGATTTTTTTGAATCAATGATAATTTTTTCCAGTGTAAGAAATTCTAAATTTTATAAAAAGGAATTAACCCGTCAGCACTGCCGTGCAAATCGAAATAAGCGTATCTGCATCGGGGATAAGTCACTTATTCGCCACTATTGGCAGTAGTGACAAGGTGACTCCCCCTCAATGCAGATACGCTTATTTCGATTTGCACGGCAGAGCAGTCGCGCTATTTTTAGTTTCTCACTTGCACTACAACATAGCGTCCTATATAGGTTGAGCAGTGTTGCGTGAGACTTTTTCTCACGGAGCGATCGCTGACGGGTTAATGAAATTTCTTATCATTTAGTAATGAATCAAATACGTTTACCAAATTTTAATATATACGAAGAGAAGGACATATAAGATACATGATAATAAAATCTACTAAACAGAATTGTTAATTTTGACTGACTCAATGGGCAGTAGGTATTACTAAACAGGCATTTTGTTACTTGGACTAGTCAGAAGAAAGTAACCCTAACTACGCAGATTCTGTTTAGTAAAATGTAAGGCAACATTTATATCTCTGCCTGAAGAAAAATATTTACCGACAGAGTTATAAAGTCTCACAGACTTCATTGTACAATGTAGTGTAAATTTTTTAAAGATTAATATTTCTTAATAAGAAATTTCTCTTTTTAGCATATATTTTTGACAACTTGCATAATACTTTTATTAAATTTTTAAGAAATCGGTTTATTGATTATACTGAAAAAAATTTATTTGATTCAAATAATCGGTTACTTGTCTTATCAAATAAATATTTATTTGTATAAAATAATTATTATTTGAGTCAATTAAATAGTGTTTGTTTCAAGTACAGGTCCAAATACATACCTTCCGCTTGATATGTCTTAACCGCAGCGAGAAACATTCAGTGTCAAGTAGGTTCTACAAATCGAGAACGTGTGACGTCAGCACGTTTACGTACACGTCCACGTCCGACGCGCTTATTGTAGAACCAACTTCAAATCCAGAGAGGAGGCGCGATCACCCGTCTATAAGTGTTAACCGAACTCATCGGTGCTTAACCATGACGATAGCAAACCATGGAGTAGTATAAGGAGACCGAACGACCATGTTAAATCTGCATTATAAGTGGACCACTTTTCGGTACCCGCTAAACCGCAAAAAAATACGGAATGGAACACTAGCGCCACTGATTGTGTCAAACTCAGCTGGACAGTCAGCCATTGTAAAAGTTTTAAAAATAAGGAGCAATGTATTTTTGGGTTATGTTCAACGTACTTCCAATTTTTCCCATTGTTTACATACTTCCCACAAGAGCGCTTGTGTTCCATTTCGTATTTTCATGACACTAAGCGGGTACCAAAATTTGGTCCACTTCCAATGTACGTCGTTCGGTCTCCTTATACTATATTCCATGTCGCAAACCAAGGCGCTTCACCGCCTGAGCTATATTATCGGTTATAAAAGGTTATATTTATAGTAAGTAAACATAGGTTTAGGTGATTATAATGCATTAGAGGTTATAACTATGATGTAGCTTCTGAAAAAAATGAGTTTTAAAACTTAAAAAAATATCTTAGCTATGTATAAAACTAAAAATGAAAGAGAAATTAAATTTCAAAATAGATAATATTGTACTCTAAAAATATATAAAAGAAACATTTAAATGCATATCGAATAAAGGGTAGGGAGTACGGTCATAAAGGTTATCTCTTTAACGTGTAGTATTGATTAAATATGAATTAAGAACAAAACAAAGTTATTTGGTATATGTATAGGAGAAGTAAATCTTATCACAGACAAAGGATGACAAGTAAAGGCATTGGATTTGTAAACTAGGTCATTCTGAAAAATTAAAAAACAAACTTCATTTTAAATATTCAAAACAATTAAATTGATGATGATTGTCAAAATTTGTAATTCAAAGGTATACTTGATAAAATGATAAAGTATATTTTTTTAACTCCCGATGAAGAAATAATTGTCAGGTATAGGTATAGGCTTTTTCAAATTGAAACGCTGCTGTATGGTTTTTTGGTGTAAAATGACAATTTTAGTTTGCGAAATGTACATATGATTGGTTTTGTTCCAGACATTTTTCTATGCACATTGTATTTTGTTTCCGTCTGGAGTCATCAATATTTCAAAAATTAAAAATGTTTTAAAACGTGGTTTTTCAAATATTTTTTTACTGACTTTCAAATATTAAAAAAATTAAGCAATATGCTTCATTTTTTTTTCATTAAATTGTGTGACTTTTTAAAAATCTAGTTTTAATATTTATTAGGAGTTGTCAATATGTAATAAATTCGGATTTAGTTTCTCAAATAGTCAAATATGTATCCAATAGACTAATTACAGACAATCTTTTAGAAAAATTTCTTTACACACAGAGGCAAAAGAAATGTTAGAATAACAAACCTTGCCTAAGCCCTCTTGGTCGCCGGCGGTTCAATTGATAGTTCAGGATACTTTTCAATTTATTTTAATAAAATTATATTTATTTTTTCATGTTATTATTCAAATAAGGTTTATGTATCAATTTTCCAATAGAAAAAGAAAAATGTTTATTTTGTATTCAAAAATAGTCTGTTACAAATTAGTTATTATTTGTATCTTCTCGCTTCTAAAATAAATATTTCCCAACGAAAGAGACAACGACCCTCTTTGGCTGCTTTGGATATGCGCAAATTTCCCTTTTTCCACTTTTGTATTGAAAGGAGGGTCTAGACATACATCCAAAAAAAGGCCTTATTCAGGTTCTAGGAGGAGCTAAAGAGGATTCAAATTTCGAGTTGGGTTTATTCAAATTTCGCGTGAAGATAAAGAACTAAATATCTAAATAGTATACGAATATAGAGTCATATTTTACAAAGAGTGTTGGTTTTTTAAGAACAATCGACTTTACAAAAAAAAACACAACCTTATACTTATTCGTCATATAAAACGATATTTTTTCTCTATATTTTAGTGCTGGAGGTCTCGTAACAGCAGTAGCGCCTGTGGTTATCAATGGAAACGGTGTATGGGTAGGATGGCCTGGAATGCACATGGAAGATCCTAATGAACCAATTCCAGAATCTGATCCAAATGATAGAACACCGACTGCTGGTCTTCTTTCTCGAAAAGTTAGTAAAAAATTTATTAAATATAGTACTAAAAAGTGATTCAACAGATATAGATAAAATATTTAAAAATAAATGAAATATATATGTGCCATTCCATGAGTTTTTTTTATCACTTTTCGGAGTAACTTCACAAAATTAAATGAAACTTTTTTTAATAATATTTATTGATATAATGGTTCAAAATAATCACTTTTTAAGTTAAAACAATTGTTTATTCAAAAGATACAACAATAAATAATAAAAAATTCACTTTTTTCTGCTTCACCAAATGAATTGGTTTAAAGATCAAAATTTCCCTTATACTTTTCAAGCTTTAATACCGTACAAAAAAATTAAGCACTTCGAAATGTTCGAAATAGTTAACTCACAATTTATGAAATAATTTCTGTTTTCTTTTTTGTATTAAAAAATAAAATAAAATAAAAATTTGATACATAGAAATTCTGTTAAGTATAAATTCAGGTTAATTTAAATTCTATTAAACATTAACTCGAAAAACACAAATTCGAATAAAAGGGACTTTCTAGTTTAGAATTGACAAAAAGACATGTTTTAAAACTTTTGTTGTAAGAAAAGTATTAAATAAATTGCAAAAATTCTTTTTAGACATTGTTGAACATTACATAGAGAAAATTAAAAATTTTTTTTTGAGTGTATTTAGTTCAATTTCTTAGCTGTAGGTGGCGTCTTCTAAAAGGCACCTTTTTTTTAGTGCACGTGATTGCGGACAACCTGTAATATAAAAAAAACTGCCAAATTCTCATTTGTCTGGCACTTTTGAGACAGGATATATACATTAAGGGAGCGTTCACAAATTACGTAACGTTTTTTTTTTTAATTTTGACCCCCCCCCCCTCCCCATGTAACACGTTATTGCATTGATTAGCGCCATTTTTTCTGCTGTCCGTAACAAAGTGCTTGATCCCCCCCCCTCCCCCAAAAAATGTTACGTAATTTTTGAACGCTCCCTAAGCACTAAAAACAGCGTAAAACTAATAATTTTTTAACATTTTTCGATTTTCTTGACTTAAAATAATCCTCACTAAATTTTTAAGATATTGCTAAACCCCAATCTTTAATTTTCATTTTGTATATATAATTATATTAATATAAATAAACAAATAAAAAGTACCCTTTTCCTGTGAATCGTATGAATATCACAACAAAATCGAAATATTTTTTATTATTAGACACTTAAAGTACTCCTACAGATTTGTGATTTGTAAAATTATGTTCTAGTAGAACACACGTAATTTGTTATAAACAAATTATATAAACAAATTACTAATTAAACCGATACCTTTTATTGATCCTTGTAAAATTCTTTACTTGGGGGTTTTCTGGGTCGCTGATTACGAATCCGACGTCAGTTTTTCAAAATTCAAAATGGCGGATACAATATGGCGGACGACTTTTGGAAAAACTTAATATATTTGTCTGAAAATAATTACTCGGGGGTTTTCGGGGTCGCTGTTTACGAATCAGAGGTCAGTTTTTCAAAATTAAAAATGGCGGATCCAATATGGCGGACAACTTTTGAAAAAACTTAATATATTCGTTTGAAGTAAGTAGTTTCCAGTGATTTTAAATATTTGTCCGCCATTTTGAATTTTGAAAAACTGACTCCGGATTTATTTTCAGCGACCCCAAAAACCCCCCAGTAAAGAGTTTCAAGCAAAACCAAACGATTTTTTAAAAAAAGTCCGCCGTATTGGATCCGCCCTTTTGAATTTTAAAAAACTGACCTCGGATTCGTAATCAGCGACCCCAAAAACCCTCGAGTAGAGAGTTTCAAGCAAATCCAAACGATTTTAAAAAAAAATCCGCCATATTGGATCCGCCATTTTGAATTTTGAAAAACTGACCTCGGATTCGTAATCAGCGACCCCGAAAACCCCCGAGCAATAAATTTTGTATAACCCTGCTTAAAACGTCTGATAAGAACCGGACACAAATACCGGATAACTTTTCGAACAAGATCTTTTAGGATTCGGATAAGAAACGTATAGATTTCGGACAAGGTCGTATAAGCTGCGGTTATTTTCGGATAAATACCGTTTCATTCGTTTTTTCAAATTTTACTTACGGATAAAATTCGTAAAAAATCGTACGAATTTCGTTTGTACAAATTAATTTCTATTCTTTTTACCAGATTGAAAGCAGTCGAAACCAGACACAAAACGGACAAATTTCGGATTATTTCATACGGTTCTGTCTGAAATGTTATCCGACTTTTGTGTCCGGTTTTTATCGGACATTTTAAGCAGGGAAATCCATCTATTATTTTTTGTGTTAATGTGAATTTTCTATGCACGATCTTAATTTCCTGGATAAATTGTTTATAAACAACCATAATTTTTGTAATTTTCAATATTTTGTCTGACCGCTTTCAGATATCTTTTTTAGTGTCATTAACTTGAAGTTAAAGTACTTTTCAGACCTTAAATGAGAAAAAAATGTTGTGTCCATATTTTCTTCATTTTCTTCCTTCGTTTGTAGAATCACCCATAACCTATATACAATTATGTTAGGAGTAAACGGGAAAAAGTGGATAAGTCAATTTTTTAGTATTTTGAGAAATAGCGCGCTGAAACTAGCAGCCGCGCTCAGCACCCTTCCATAGGCGTCGCCACAGCTACTCTATAAGAGGGCTCCCGTCATAAAATAAATCAATACAAACAACTTAGGAACATAAAATTCAATAAGAAGATCAATAACAACAAAAAATCATGTAAACACACACAGTAAATAATAACAATTCTTATAAATAATATTAAAGAATAGCATGACAATATTTTTTATTAAAAAAAACAGAAGACCTAGAAAACGTATATATTTTCGGACCTTAAAATGTATGTATTTTTTTAAACAAATTAAATTCTTTTATATATGGAACATGTTTGGTAACATATACTGAGTGCCCCCCAAAAATATAGACGTTTTCTACCCCCCTAAATTTTTTTTTATTTAAATTTTTCTGAAAAAAATTAAAATTTTTGAGAATAAAGTTTGGCTGCTATGTATTTTTTTAAACAAATTAAATTCTTTTATATATGGAATATGTTTGGAAACATATACTGAGTGCCCCCCAAAAATATAGACGTTTTCTACCCCCCTAAATTTTTTTTTATTTAACTTTTTCTGAAAAAAATTAAAATTTTTGAGAATAAAGTTTGGCTGCTATGTATTTTTTTAAACAAATTAAATTCTTTTATATATGGAATATGTTTGGCAACATATACTGAGTGCCCCCCAAAAATATAGACGTTTTCTACCCCCCTAAAATTTTTTTTATTTAACTTTTTCTGAAAAAAATTCAAATTTTTGAGAATAAAGTTTGGCTGCTATGTATTTTTTTAAACAAATTAAATTCTTTTATATATGGAATATGTTTGGCAACATATACTGAGTGCCCCCTAAAAATATAGACGTTTTCTACCCCCCTAAATTTTTTTTTATTTAACTTTTTCTGAAAAAAATTAAAATTTTTGAGAATAAAGTTTGGCTGCTATGTATTTTTTTAAACAAATTAAATTCTTTTATATATGGAGCATGTGTAGGAACATATACTGAGTGCCCCCCAAAAATATAGACGTTTTCTACCCCCCTAAATTTTTTTTTATTTAACTTTTTCTGAAAAAAATTCAAGTTTTTGAGAATAAAGTTTGGCTGCTATGTATTTTTTTAAACAAATTAAATTCTTTTATATATGGAGCATGTGTAGGAACATATACTGAGTGCCCCCCAAAAATATAGACGTTTTCTACCCCCCTAAAATTTTTTTTATTTAACTTTTTCTGAAAAAAATTTAAATTTTTGAGAATAAAGTTTGGCTGCTATGTATTTTTTTAAACAAATTAAATTCTTTTATATATGGAGCATGTGTAGGAACATATACTGAGTGCCCCCCAAAAATATAGACGTTTTCTACCCCCCTAAATTTTTTTTTATTTAACTTTTTCTGAAAAAAATTCAAGTTTTTGAGAATAAAGTTTGGCTGCTATGTATTTTTTTAAACAAATTAAATTCTTTTATATATGGAGCATGTGTAGGAACATATACTGAGTGCCCCCCAAAAATATTGACGTTTTCTACCCCCCTAAATTTTTTTTTATTTAACTTTTTCTGAAAAAAATTCAAGTTTTTGAGAATAAAGTTTGGCTGCTATGTATTTTTTTAAACAAATTAAATTCTTCTATATATGGAATATGTTTGGCTACATATACTGAGTGCCCCCCAAAAATATAGACGTTTTCTACCCCCATAAATTTTTTTTTATTTAACTTTTTTTGAAAAAAATTAAAATTTTTGAGAATAAAGTTTGGCTGCTATGTATTTTTTTAAACAAATTAAATTCTTTTATATATGGAATATGTTTGGCAACATATACTGAGTGCCCCCCAAAAATATAGACGTTTTCTACCCCCCTAAAATTTTTTTTATTTAACTTTTTCTGAAAAAAATTCAAATTTTTGAGAATAAAGTTTGGCTGCTATGTATTTTTTTAAACAAATTAAATTCTTTTATATATGGAACATGTTTGGCAACATATACTGAGTGCCCCCCAAAAATATAGACGTTTTCTACCTCCCTAAATTTTTTTTTATTTAACTTTTTCTGAAAAAAATTCAAGTTTTTGAGAATAAAGTTTGGCTGCTATGTATTTTTTTAAACAAATTAAATTCTTTTATATATGGAACATGTTTGGCAACATATACTGAGTGCCCCCCAAAAATATAGACGTTTTCTACCCCCCTAAATTTTTTTTATTTAACTTTTTCTGAAAAAAATTCAAGTTTTTGAGAACAAAGTTTGGCTGCTATGTATTTTTTTAAACAAATTAAATTCTTTTATATATGGAATATGTTTGGCAACATATACTGAGTGCCCCCCAAAAATATAGACGTTTTCTACCCCCCTAAATTTTTTTTTATTTAACTTTTTCTGAAAAAAATTAAAATTTTTGAGAATAAAGTTTGGCTGCTATGTATTTTTTTAAA